ACTCTTCCCCCACACTCTAGGTCCTGTCTTGTATGGATTGTTCCCAGCACAGCCAACCCATTTTCAACTATTTACACTTCTCATCAGCACTCTACCTAGCATTTATCTGTCTCTTGCCTAATTATCAGCAATCTCTTTGTTTCGCTTTTTCTCTCTCACTTTGGGCCTCATCTCCATGTACTCTAGTCACATGCCCCCATACCCACTCCATCAGCATAAATATCACCTTCTTCCAGCTATTTTCAGTTCTGATGAAGGGTTACTGGACTCGAAATGTTAATTGTGTTTTTATCTACAAATGCAGCTAGACCTGCTGAGTTTCTCCAGCGCTTTCTGTTTTTAAGAAAATTCTATTGTGAATGGCATGTCATTTGCTGTAGTGCTGGAACATGCCGCTTAGAAGCACTGAATTGCAGGTATTTACTGATGTGGTTAAAGGCTTCCAGCAATAGATGGCACTGTGACCTCGTACATGGCATTGTTCAACTGGGTAGGAGACACAGGGTGGTGGTGGAGGGTTGTTTTTTGGATTGGAGGCCTGTGACCAATGGTGTGCCACAAAGATTGATTTACATAAATGATTTGGATGTGAATAAAGGAAGAATGGTAATTTGCAGATGACACCAAAATTGGCGGTGTTTTGGACAGAAAAGGGTCATCCCAGAGTACAACAGGCCCTTGATCAGATGGACCAATGAGTGGCAGATGGAGTTTAATTTAGATAAATGTGAGGTGTTGCATTTTGGTAAGGCAAATCAGGGCTGGACTTGTACACTTAATGGTAGGGTCTTGGGGTGTGTTGCCAAACAGAGACCTAGGGGTGCAAGTTCAAAGTTCTTTGAAGGTGGAGATTCAGGTTGACAGGGTAGTGAAGAAGGCGCTTGGTACAGTTTACCTCAACTGGTCAATGCATTGAGTATAGGAGTTGGGATGTTATGTTGTGGCTGTACAGAACATTGATTAGGCCACTTTTCGAATACTGTGTGCAATTCTGATCTCCCTGCTATAGGAAGGATGTTATGAAACTGCAAAGGGTTCAGGAAAGATTTACAAGGATGTTGCCAGGCTTGGAGGGTTTGAGCTATGGGGAGAGGCTGAATAGGCTGGGGCTTTCAGGGTCAAAGGCTGAGGTATTGCCTTATAGAGGTTCATAAAATCATGAGGGGCATGGATATAGTAAATAGTCACGGTCTCTTTCCCAGGGAAGGGGGAGTCCAAAAGTAGAAGCAGAGATTTTAGGTGAGAGGGGAAAGATTTAAAAGGGACCTGAAGGGGAACCTTTTTCACGCAGAGGGTGGTGTATGTATGGAATGAGCTGCCAGAGGAAGTGGTGGAGGCTGGTACAATACAACGTTTAGAACATAGAACAGTACAACATAGCACAGGCCCTTTGGCCCACGATGTTGTGCCGACCTATTATCCTACTCTAAGATCAAACTACCCTGCATACCCTACATTTTACTATCATCATGTGCCTATCCAAGAGTTGCTTGAATGTCCCTAATGTATCTGACTCCACTACCACCGCCAGAATCCTATTCCATGCACCCACCACTCTCTGTGTAAAGAACCTACCTCTGACATCTCCACTATACCTTCCTCCAATCACCTTAAAATTATGCTCCCTCATAATAGTAATTTCCGCTCTGGGAAAAAGTCTCTGGCTATCCACTCTATCTATGCCTCTCATCACCTTGTACACCTCTATCAAGTCACCTCTCATCCTTCTTCACTCCAATGAGAAAAGCCCTAGCTCCCTCAACCCTTCCTCATAAGACTTGCCCTCCATTCCAGGCAGCATCCTGGTAAATCTCCTCTGCACCCTCTCTAAAGCTTCCACATCCTTCCTATAATGAGGCAACCAAGTGTGGTCTAACCAGGGTTTTATAGAGATGCAGCATAAAAGGCATCTGGATGGGCATATGAATAGGAAGGGTTGAAAGGGATATGGTCCAAATGCTGGCAAATGGGACTAGATTAATTTAGGATATCTGGTCGGCATGGACAAGTTGAACCGAAGGGTTTGTTTCTGTTTGTACAACTCTATGACTGTATGGATAATTGTGGTACTATGACATGTTAATTTGTTGTGGCACCTTCTCGTGGCAGGAATTTGCATGATAACTTCAACAGATTTCATAGAATCACAGAATTCTAGATTTTGGAGGAACATTTTCTGATTTGGAACAAAAGCAACATTATGTGGGACAATAGTTTGATGTTTTTGTACTTGTGCTATTTATATTAGGTAGCTTGGGAACACAGCAGAGACAATTTACATAGCACTTTTAGCATAATATTTAAAAAATCAACTTGATTTGTAGAAACCTTGTCAGCTATTTGGACAGGTGGAAAGTTTTAACAACTTTCTTAACATAAGAAACAGGAGCAGGAATAGACTGCTTGGCTCCTTGAGCCTGCTCTGCCATTCATTAGGATCATGGCTGATCTGACATTCCACCTGTCTACTTTCCTGCCCTTTTCCTGTAACTTTGGTTCCCCCACTGATCAAGAATCTATCTCTCTCAGCCTTAAATATGCACAAGGACTGTGCTTCCAGAGCTCTCTGTGGCAAAGAGTTCCAAAGACTCTCAATCCTCCAAGTTAGAAAGGAAATTACAGAGCTAGGGACATAGCTGAAACTATAGCTGCCAACAGTGAAGTAACTAAAATCCGATGTACTGATTATACAAATTAGGCTTACTTTCTCTAAAATTTAGAAGGTTAAGGGGTGATCTGATTGAAACCTTCAAGATATTAACAGTAAAGGACAGGGTTGATAAAGAAACTATTTCCACTAATTGGAGATTCTAGCGCCAGCTTGCATAGTCTGAGAATTAGGGCCAGACCATTCAGGAGAGATGTTTCGAAGCACTTCTACACAGAAAGGGTGGTAGATGTTTGGTACTCTCTTCCACAAGGGCAGTTGATGCAGGATCAGTTGTGAATTTTAAATCTGAGAGATTTTTTTTATTAAGCACAAGTATTAAAGTATATGGGTTGAAGGCAGGGATATGGAGTTGGGCCACAAATCAGCCATGATCTCTTTGAATGGCAGGACATGCTCAAGGGGCTGAATGGCCTACTCCTGGTCCTATGTTCCAATGTAAAATGGGCCTGCATGAAATATAGCTTCACTTTGTCTCAATTCCACTCACTACGTTCCCTTCTTAAAGAATTCTCAATGCCCATTTTATTATTGATAAAGTGACACACTGGTCAACTAAGTGTTATTGTGGCATTTCTATCACTAGGATACCGGATAAGGTGTCAAGGTTGAAACCATCACTTGGAATTCCATTTTACTCTCATATGCCTAGTTCAGCAACTAATTTATGTTGTATGTCTGAAATGTTTTCAGTTGTTTGTTGCCTTTAGACTGAAGGTGTCAATGTATGCTGAGATTATCTCAGGCTTCTCATTGCAACAGAGAATACAGTTCACAAGTATATCTTTGATTATAAATTCTTGAAGATGCCGCAAATAGGCTGAGTAGACAAGCTGTAAAGAGTAAACAAATTGCATTTTAGATCCGTAGGACATGGGTTAACTTGGCAGCCGAATAAAGGCTCTCCTAGCCTGCACGCCTCTTTTATTTTCTCCTCTGTATTGTATTTACTCACTGAAGTTACAGTCTAATCCCTGCATGTCCTCGCCCTTCCCTAACTTTCGTAATCTTGAACAACCCCTGCCCTCCACATCATGCTGGTTTTAATTGCTCTACTGTTGGTGGCCATACCTTGAGCTGCCTGGATCTTGAGCTCCAGATTTCCCTCCACACGGTTTGCTGCTTCTGTCTTAAACTTACCTCTGATTAAAGCTGTAGTTACCTATCTTAGTATATCATTTGTGCCCTGATGTCAGGCTAGTCCTGATAAAGTGAGTGTACAAGTTATTTCTGAGAGGGGGATCTGCAGTGAGTTATTTGATGTGTTTATAACTTGTTTTTTTTCCCCTGTATGAAACCAAATTCCTGGTGACAGCAGGATGACTCATGGCTACCTGAGGCCTGCGCGCTGTGACTGGATATGTGCCCTTCCACTCTTTTGGTTTATGTGTGTGCATAAATATAGCTACGAGGAAATCCTAATTAAATGTTCTGTAGATGAGATCTATCAGGTTTGTTGCCAAGGAAAAGATCTGAATGAGTTCAAATGCCATTTAAAAGGGGGACAAAAAAAATGCCAGTTTGATCCAGATGACTATTATCTTGTACTTCTACATTCTCTGAAAGTCTCAAATGCCATGAACCATATTCAAGCAAAGTATCAGCACCGTTTAGCCCCTCGCACAAGGAATCGTAGCCTATACAATTATGGAGATAGACCATTACTTCTCCTCACCCATTGTCCACAGGGGCACTAGATAGTAATCAGATCCAGTAACAACTCTTCACGGCCGACAGGTGATCAGAATAGTTGTACCTCCCTTCCCATGTGACTTTATCCTGATTTGGTGTAGAACTGGAATCCAAACCTAATTAATCTTTATGCAAGCATCAGAGCTGCAGCATTTTAGAGCTATTGTGTCATAATGAAATAAATTTACAAAATCACCTCTTGTAGGCCCAGAAGTTCTGCTTTGTGATGATTGGGATCCAACTATTCTCTCTCATTTTGCACTCTGTATTTCACCTGTGGCTGCAGATATTCACTACTTTGCACTTGATCATTTTCTGCCCCCTGATAAGGCAAATGCAGACCTGGTACTTGCCTACTCTGGCACTTAGTTGAGATTGGAAATTCACAGAATACAGGGGCTCTGCCAAAGAATAAAATCTTTTAGTCAGTGTTTTAAAATTGCTTGCCAATGTTTCAGTATTTCACCACTGAGACTGAAATTTATAGTGTTCATGGTTAGATTGCAAACATTAATTATGTACATTGCCAGAGTAAAGTAGACATTCAGACCATAGAAAGTGTATTCTCCAGGATGAAGCCAAGTTCACGGTTGGAAATTATAGTGATGAAGAGAGGTATGAAAAACGGGTTATATCCACTAGAAGAGCTAAAAAGTGATTTAATATATGTAGAATTCTGACTTTAATAGGGGGAGTGGGATTATTCCATTAAACAAAAGACAAAGAACTAGGGACGCTGCAATTCTGAAGTAAAAACAGAAATAGCTGGAGAAATTCAGCAGATCTAGCAGTATCTGTGGAGAGAAAGAAGGGTCACTAGATCCAAAATGTTGACCCTGCTTTTCTTCCACAAGTGCTGCTCCATAGATTTCTGGCTCACATTCAGCTCCCATGTTTTGAACATAATATTGTACTAGAGCATTAGCATTGAGGGAATGCTGTGCTGGAGGTGTCTTTTGGAATGAACTTTTGAAATCTATTGGAACAGGAAGGCAGAGCCTTGATTTAAAAGATCTTGTGACACTGTTCGAATTCGCCAGGTCTTAAGCAAAGAAGGTGGAGAGGAAGGAAGAATTAACACAAGTTTGTACAATGACTGTGTCTGTATGACTGAGCTGTTTGTGCTTGCACGGAGAGTGTTTGTTCCCTTTTAATAGAGTCTTGTTGGATAATGAACAATGTCAAAAAGAAAGTTTTGCATTTGTGTATTTCCAAACTGCAGGATATCTCAGAGAGCTTTGCACGTAATGAAGCTACTGTTTTAATGTGCAGAAAGTTCCCATGAACAGCAGTGATAATGACCAGGTTTCTTTTTGTTTCTAACGTTGGTTGACTTATTAAATATTGGCTAAGATGCTTTTGTCCTGTTGCTGATGTGACGGTCACCAGTTGGGCCAGCATTTTGTTGCCCATTACTAATCGCCCTCAAAAGGTGGTGGTGAACGGTCATCTTAAACTACTATAGTCCGCGCGGTGTGGGTATACCGCATTGCTGTTAGGAAGGGAGTTCCAGGATTTTAATCCATTGATAGTTGAGTCAGGTCAGTGGGTGATTTGCAGGGGAACCTGCAGATGTTTGTGTTCCCATGTATCTACTGCCCATGGCGTTCTTGGTGGTAGAAGTTGTGGGTTTGGAAGATGCTGCCTAAGGAACCTGGATGAGTTGTTGCAGTGCACCTTACATTTAGTACACACTACTGCTACTGTGCATTCGCAGTGGAGGGAATGTTAAAAAGTAGATGGCTTTGTCTTGGATGGTGTTGAGTTTCTTGTGTTGTTGGAGCTGCAGTCATCCTGTCAAGTGGAGAGTATTCCATCATACTCCTGGCTTGTACCCTTTGACACTATCAGGCTTTGGAGACTCAGGAGGTAAGTTACTTGCTGCAAAATTCCCAGTTTCTGATTTGCTCTTGGAGTCAAAGGGGTTTATTTGCCTTTTGTACTTTGAAACTGTGCCAGAGGACGTTTTACATCCAACTGAGAGAGCAAATGAGGCCTCTCTTCAATACTGTCAGCCTATGTGCTTGAGTCTCTGGAGTGAGACTGGAATCCACCGCTCCAAGGGCAAGAGTGTGATCTACTGAGCCTAGAGGGACACACTTATCAGGAAGAGCTACATAGATTTTACAGCATTGCCATTCACTCCAACAGATCTGTGATGTTTATACTTAGACAAGTGTTTATACTTCACACAAGTGCATTCCTTCCCTGGTGGGGAGTGTACGAGAATGAGCTCGTATTGTGACTGAGCTGGGCGTACAGGGTTGTTGAGAGGCTGCAATGCAGCCAAGTTTCAATCCATTGAAAGTAAATGTCAAGATGATTTGCAGGCTGCACCTGGCTCCTCTCCTGGTATACATGACCCGCTGTGTGACCGGCTCTGTGCTATAAAGCTGCAGAAGGGCCAGCTCATGCCTCAATAATCTTCTCGCTCTCTCTGGTTACAGATGCTTTGCTCTCTCAGCGATCAGAAGGATGGACAGGCCTAGCACGTTGACTCAGACCTCGGTGTTGCCTTTCTCCGACCCCGATCACGCCCTCAACATCCTGCAGGGCATCAACGAGCTGCGGGCGGAGGGCAAGTTCTTCGACATGACCCTGTCGGCGGACGGCCAGGATTTCCCGTGTCA